AAAATAAAAATCTGCTTGATTGAAATACCGCCCTAGTACGTGAGACATAAGTAATATAAGTTATCGATTTCCCCTCTTAGAGGTTTCTTAATTATTTGTCCTCGATACCACAATTTATAATCCTATCCTATTGAGAAATTTTATGTAGAAGTTTAGTATTTAATTGTTTTAAACTAATTAGTCTTTCATGTTAATTCATTTGATAAGTAAAACTTAAAAAAACACGTTTAAATAAACTAGTAGGTTTTTTTAAATATTATGAGTACCCTTCGTTCCTGATGACACGGTTTCTCGCTAAGTGCCACCGTAGGAAGGTTAAGAGCCCCTTATCGCACGTTATCGTACCGTACGTACCTAGGTGCCGCCCCATTTGCTCGTTTGACCTGACACCTCAGTTATCAGTTGCGCGCCGTGATAACCGCTGTACCGTACCTGTTGATTTTACCTTTTTTCCGTTTGAACTTTTTTTTGTATTTCGTGTAATTTTAGTATTTGATGTGTGTAACCTTCTTAGTACCCCGTTGTGCTTTCGAGTGAGTAATGGTAATTGAATATTTGACTCTTTACGTTTGTCTTTTGTTAAATATAATCTATATTCATATGAACATATTTTGAAAATCTGAAACCTATTTTGAAATATATAGATTGTACGTTGAATCATAATTTTCACTATTTAAGAATCTTTTTTAAGAATTGAAAGATATATTTAAAAACAAATGATTAATTCGCGCATACATGGCATTAATAGAGGTAGGTAGAGGTAACAAAATCATTTAACGCATTCCTGACGCGCCTCTTTCGCTTCTGAATTCAGACAACGCATAAATACATACGTGAAGCTTATTCATTCCTTTGGTATTAGTCGTCGATTTGTATGAAATAAATCTATGGTAATTCTGGGACTAAACATTAGTCATAGTTTTATTCTTCTCTATGGATACTTAGTTACAAAAGGTTTATGACGTCACGGACTTTTACGCTGGAATTCAAACGAGTATCTTATTTAGTTCCAGTTTAAATGTTGCCACACAATAATATTTGCCTTTCTATAGATAACTAAATAATAAAGACGAAGAAAAGGAGAGCCATTCTATACCTTAGTGGTAGTACTTATAAGCAATGTCCAGTTTAAGCATTTAAAGTTTCAAATCGAGAAGCTGTAAGCTATTCTTGCTTAGAGTAAGATTCAAGATCACAATTATACTTGTACTTTAATCAACTGTATTAAAATTATAGATATTTTTGTGTCTATGAGTTGTACAATTAAATGTATTTATAATGTCTAAAACAATATTGGAGGATTACACTGGACAAAGATCGGATGAATCTGATGAAGGTTCGGTGGATACTAAGTGTGATGTGAAGGAAGTGTGCCAAAGTAAAGTGCAAGTGAAGTGTGAAGTTGAAGAGGATGAAGTGAAGTCAGTCGTTCAGCGAGAGAATAGACTGACGAGCATCATCGACCAGCTTAGGTGTCAAAGTCAATTAAAAGGTACGTATGTATTTGTCTTTGACACCAGTGTCCTATAATTACATGGATTGTCTCCTTTTAGCGTTTAATTTTATTAGATTTTAATAGTATATGCCTGAGGCAAGACTTCTGAGAGGAGCCCCGAGCTTAGTTACTCATAAACGAAGATTATGCTAAGCTAGAAATGCCTCTTCAAAACAGTGGCTATTCAGTCAAAATAACTTAGATTTTGAGTTACATGTATATTGTTGACTTATCTACGTATCTCAGTTATGATTTTAAATGAATAAGAAAAACTAATTACGACTATTATGAGATAGCATAATAACTGTTATTTTATTGTAAAAAACTGTAATCTACAAGATCGGATGCTCACTGCGTAATTACACTCCGACGTAGACTAACACACCATAAATTATTTTCTAATAGAAAATGGCGTGGTTTGGAGCGTAACAGGAACAAAGTCGCAACCTTTGCTCGGCCGATGCTATCGGAGCCATGAAATGTAAATCGCTTAGTAGATTTATAAAAGTAATTACTTCAAAGACAAAAGGCACGCGTTGCTCGCGGACAATTAGGCCGGGCGGGCTGGATCTGGCAACAATGGCCGTGATCATAGATAGCCGGCTATCGCGGCATCGCGATGTTTCTGCGCTCTGAATTGGTTTGTTTAAGAGACCAACACTCGGGTTCAGACCTACA